TCCTGCTTCCAAAACCATTTCTCAACTGAAATGGCTGTAGTTCAGGTGGAGCTTTGAAGACATGAAGCTGAGTGCACAAAGGCTGCAACGCCTAGCAGCATAGTAAATACAACCTATGGTGTATAGAAACAGTGCAGACCTCTGATAAAAATTCTCATTGTTATTACTATTATTATCAAGTGCCTTAAAAAAAAAAAAAAAAAAAAGAGTGCAGAGCCCCTGGATGCTCCAGCCATTTTGGCAGAAGGCTTTTTTCACACCTCCACAAGACTCCAGCTGATACTAAAAACCACACAGGTCGAAATGTGAACACATGCAGAGATCTGGCAGAAAGCCGTGGTATTGCAGAAGTCCTGAGACAAGGCCAAGGCACCGAAATAAATCCCTACAGGCTCAAGTGGGACTTATGTGGTGCCTTGGCCTCATGCTAACCTCCACAGAGGAATGAGTTATACCCGCAGCCTCTTGACGCGTGAGCTTACCAGCAGGAACGCACAAGATCCTAAGCACTACCGCTGGTGGCTACCTACAGCCCAGGCGGCTATTTTTCGTCACCCGATACAGCAGGTGAAGCAATGCCCATGAATGACACCGCTTACGGTCTGTCTGGGAAGTCATTCACTGACCCAGCCTCTGTAACTGCAAAGCTTTGGGAATGGAGGGGAAAATGGAAACCAGACACTTATTTGGCCCTTCTTCTCCCCATCCTCCTGCCACTTACACTGCCCAAAGTAATCCTGGTGCAGCCCTGCAAGCCAAGTTCAGATAGGGACTACGTCTGCCTGGATGGAAAGTTTCTCATGTGCAATGTGGAGAGTCAGTGACAAAGTACAGTTTTAAAAAAAAACTTTAAAAGTGCACGTGTAGAGTCTTTCTTGAAGTGCCCGCTGGTCACAAAACAATTCTCACATGTTTCATCCTTGCTCCCAGACTTTCAGCTTCCCTTTTTATAGCTGAGGAACCTATAGTATTGATACTTCTCCGAGATCCCAGCCCTCTGACAGCACCAGCTATGAGCAGCAGTGGGGTCCAAGTGCTCGGCTGAGCCAGCTGATGCTCAGATGGATGCTGAGCCAGCGCTCAGCTAGCAAGGATGCTCAGGTGGACATCCTGGAGAAGGTGGGTGTGGAGAAGGCTCCACATTCACTGCTCTTCCCACAGAGCAGACGAGAGAAGAGCACACCCACCCTGAGCTCCCCAGCTCAGGCACGCACACGCATTGGGTTTTCTGTTCTGCAGGCTGTTCAACAGCACTGCCTCGCGGTGCCTTGGGCTCTGGCTGGAAGTCAGAAATGAGGCCCTGAGCCTGTCCTCGTTCACCCTCCCAGGCCAGAAGGTGATTTGTGTGGGATGAGAGACCTTGCAAGCAGTCAGGACGTGCGCTTGGGGAAGGAGGACTGCTTTGTCTTGTTGCGCAGGTCATGAAATATTAATCTCAAACTCATAATCTCTCATGTTTTGGTCTAGAAACTTGGCTTTGGCCAAACTCCTGGCATCAATTTCTACCAACTCTGACCAGGGCATTAACGAGCAGCTATACTACTGGAAAGGAATTTGCCAACGCAGTACTCTGCGAGTGCTTGGCCCTCAGTTGAGCACTACATCCCTGCGAACAACTGTGCAGAAGCCTTCTGTGTCTCTCTCCTCTCTCCCCCCTCACCCCATCCCCACTGCACAGGGCACTGCAAGCACGCTCATACTCACTGCTTCTGGAGCAAGTGCTGGTGCTGCTGCTGTTGCTGCTGCCGGTAGGTCTCAATCGTGTGCTGGGGAAGGTACTGCATTAGTTCCAGGGACTCTTTGATCTTTAGTAGCATTTCATATGTCTCCCGTCCCCTCACCTGGATCATGGGAAAAATGAAAGAGGGAAAAGGAAAGCCTTAAAGGACTGTATCTACAGTGACAGCCACCTTCAATGAGTTTTAGATAAAGTCATGTAAACAACCAGAGCAGGATGCAAATACTCTGTTTATACTCCATGGATAAGCAATAAAACCGCTAAGCCTTGTGCTAGAGGTACAGCAGATAATGTTGAAGAGTGATAATCTGACACTGCAGGCTAATGAACATCTTGGGGTTGTCATCTGGCTCGATGGAAATCTATGCCAACCAAAAGCACTATTCTGATCCAATCTGTTAGGCAGAAAGTGTCTTTACCTGCCTCGGATGTAAGCAGGTCTGGTGCTGAATCTTACATGCCTTGAGGGAAAAAAGACTACTTGGATTTGGGTGTTGGGTTTGGATCTCCCTTCTCCTCTAAGCATACCGTGGTTTGCGATTTATCCAACTCAGTGTGGCTCAGGGGGGAGCAGCTAAACAGCAATTATAGATACTTCTTGCTCTTTCTGATCCTACACTTAATACAGTGTATTTCACTTCTCTCACTCCACAACGATGGTAAACAGCTGGTAAAAGCCACAGAAATATCCACCTTTGTCAGCAAGACAACATCCATTAGCTCTAGAGAAAGCTCAAGTGCCACAGACCCAGAAATGGCAGAGGAAGAAACCCAGCTAGGTCTCCAAAGCAATGTTTCCACCAGTACAGATTCCTTGGGATATTCTCATATGCCTTGCACAAGCCACTCTCAGTCAGCAACTAATGGGATTTTTTTTGTTGTTGGAATATGTATTTAAAATAGATAGCTCTGGGGATTTTAAAAAAAAAAAAAAAATCTCCATCTCATCCCCATTCTCAGTTCTCTTTGAGGTCTAGGTGAGCAGCTGACTTGCCTCAAGGCACTGAGGAAGATACTAAACACAGGATAAATGCAAAGATAGAGAACTCACCGGCAAGTATAAGAGCTCATCATCTGGGGAACGTCTTTTTTTGATAGATGTCATCTGTATGCCATGAGTTCCTTGTCGAAAAGCTGGAAAAGAAACCCCAAAAGCATCCCATTAGAAAAAAAAAAAAGAAAGAAAGAAAAAAAAAAAGGAAAGGAAAAAAAAAGAAAAAGAGAGATACAAAAGAGAAACATGAAGTACATGGCCAGCTCAAATCCACAGTGCTCTAGAAGTGTCTCTGCCTGAGCCACTCCAGAACCGTGCGTGCAGCTCCGGGCTCCATAAGGCAGACACAACTTTGCAGATGTTGGGTGGCCATACAGCCTGGGGAAACACATCAGCCAAGGAGGGCTGGGTATATGGCAAAACCCCAGCAAGCCACACCTAGAATAAGCACTGGCTGTTTGCAGGAAAGACTGCAAGCTTTGGTATTACAGTGCTCACAAACTGTTGGTGGATCGGTGATCCACAAAGGTGCGACAACAGGCAGTGAGCACACACAATTCACTGCGACGATGAAGCCCCCCTCCGATCTGCCTCCTGTTAAAATCTGCTGCCTTGCTGTTTGGCCTCATGCCATCACTGAGTGTACGTGGAAAACCAAAGCTGGGTTTCCACATCTTGCATGTCTGATGAGCACGTTGCAATCCTTAGAGCACAGAGAGAGGCAATTTGCCAGAGCACCTCCGATGCACAGCAGGGTTTAAGTGCAGTTTTAATCTAGATCCCTGTGGCTGGAAGACACATGCCACAGCATGAGACACTGGCTAGAAGGAGCAGAGAATGACAGCACAGTCCCAAACAAGCAGTAAAGGTTCAAAAAGTGGTTACAGAGTCCTAACCATGTACTTTGAGGGTGGCAAATAAACACCCCCTTCCAGCTGCTGCTGGCAGGGCTAATCTAACACAGGCAGCGCTGCAAGGGAGCCCATAAACCCAGATTGTCAAATGCTGGTTTTTGAACACCAGCTCATTTTTCAGGCTGATTCACCCTGGAAGAACAGATGTCTGATGCCCGCCTTCCTCCAGGCCCATGCACAGCACTGCTCTGTCCCCGCAGCACAAGCACCGGGGCTGCACCTGCACCCGGTGACAGCACAATCTGCAATCTGCCCAGCTCTGCCAGCTACTTACGGCGCTTCGTACCATCACCATTCTTTGTGCTGTCGGAGACTTGCTGCTTGCGGATGCTGTCCTCGTCTGCTTTGCGATCTCTGCCTGGGCAAGCGCAAATGCGGGCTTCGAAACATCGGCGGCCCAAGACTTGCCCACTGGGAAGAGAGATGAAAGAGGAAACGTCAGCTGCCGGCTCAGATAGGGGCCAGCAGCGTCCCTCAACTTCACACCAGACTACGCACAGACAACCCCAAACCTCCCATTTCCCAGTCAGGATGTCCCAGGTGTCGGGCAACTCCCACCGGCAAAGATTTGAAAAATATCCTGTAGCCCCTTGCATCAAACTGTTCCTAAGGATGCACTATGCTTCCTGGAGCAGAAGAGGAGCCAGAAGGCCACCTCTCAAGCAGAAGGCTACACTCATGATGCACTACTTACTCTCTGGTTTCCAGTGTCACAATGATGAGGATCGGGCGACGGTTCATCCCTCCCACGCAGCTACTATTACACATGAAGTTGTACAAGACTGTCGTGAACTCCGTACCAACCTGGATGAGACAAAGGGGATGAGCAGAAGAGATGGTGGATGGAAAGCCCTGCTTTTTCCAGGCTCTCCTCTTGTACTCCCACAGCTTTGCTACAATCAAACTAGCATGAAATAGGCCCCATCACAAGGCTTCCTTAAAAGAAATTAAGAACTCCTGCTCTCAAGGGATAAAGAGGGTGTTTAAGGTCCATTTCTGACAAAGAGGAAGAAGGAATTCACTGTGATGAGGATAGGGAAAGCACAAGAACCCAACTCCTTTGGCTAGGGTTACAACCCCCACCCCTTTGTGTGCTGGGATGGCACCACCCTGGGCTCACAACATACCTGGGGTGGCTCGTAGGGGACCAGCACACTCTGCCTCCCGGTGATGGGGTCTTCTACGTACTGGGCATGGCTGTTCCCTTCCACCCTGATCAGGTGGCTGGGAGGCGCAATCTGCCCTGCAAGGGCAAGGAGGCAAAAAACAAGAGACACTGTTCAGTGAAGCAAGCTCATGTGCAGGGCAGCAAGATTTTCCACCAAGGGAAACCCCTGCAGCTGGCCCCAGAGGTCTATCGGAGCACACATGTGCCTCCCAGCCCTCAAAGCATCCCTTCTGCCCACTGCCAGACACAAAAGGCAGTGCAGACTTTTCTCAAGCTCACGCTGGACGCTTGTGAATAAACTTGAACACTGGCTTCCCAAGATCCCAGACTAAGCGAGCCCAAACATCAACTGAATGGCTGCTCACAGCAACTCCTCGAGCAGGTAACTCCATGTGGATTTTCACCCCAGCTGAAAGCTTTTATTTTCCTCCCTCTAATGCGTACACAAAGCAAATTCCTTCAAGTCTCAATCCCTACTTTTTTCCCCCCCATCAACTGCTAGCCCTCGTCTGTTCCCTCCCATCAGTCTTGATCCTAAGGAACTAAAAAAAGATTCAAGCAGCAGAGAAATATGCATTTAATTAGTTGTCAACTTGAAAAATCACACTTGCTTACAGCGGTGGCAGAAGGGAACATGATCTTTGTTTCTAGGTCCCTTTCCAATAATTTAAAAACCCAGTTTCCTTCTTGCAAGTTTTCTTCAGTGTTTCTACAACATACAACTAAAATCTGAGGAGAGATGCCTATTATGGTTCATCCAAAGAATTTGTTTTGTGTTTGAACTGTTCGTTTCTAACTCAAAATACAGTGTATTTCTAGAGAAATAACTATTCCAGAATAAGAACTTAGTTTTAGGGTTTTTCTTTCTTAAAACTCCATCACTGAAACAGGCATCAACCCTCCAAAAATCCAGTTCTGTCAGAAAAGCACTTTCTAATATAAAAAACCTATTTCAAAGCACTGTCTCATTCCACTCTTGATTTTACACTCCAAAGTCCTTGCTTATTTTTGGGCCCGTCTAGCTGGCTGCATTGTAACCAGCAAAGGGATTCAGGCTCCTGAGACATCCTGCTAACTGACACCAACTGGGTTTTTTTACAGTAGGAGATAAATAATGCACGTAGAATAAAACAGATGCTCATCTGAACTTATGTGAACTTAGGCAGCCAAGGCAAAACGGAGCCCAGCCCATGAGTTTGCAGAAAACCCCAGGACATTTTTAAAACAGCTGCTACTTCACTAACATGAGGAGAAGCAAGTAAAAGATTAAAACATTAATACTGAACCAATAGTGTTAAATGTACAGGAAGGTTGCCTACAGTTGATGCTGGCACTTAGTGTTATCCTGCTGGAGATAAACAGCCCCTCCGTCTTTGAGGCGTGGATTAAGGACTGGAGATGATATTGCATCCTGTTACTAGATCCCTGTCCCAGCAACATGGAAGCTCATTCCTGAGCACAAGAACAGCTGCTTCTCATCGCGGGAGCAAAAGCAGAGCAGGGAAAGGCTGCCAGAAGGGCACTGTCTGCCACGGGGACGGACATCCATCCAACCTGGGCAGGCGTGAGGTTTATTTTGGTCCTTTCTTCCCAAGGACGTGCTTGCACGGGGGCAGCTATAGTATGAAGCTTCCTGCTAAGCATGGGAAATGAAAAGCTGCACAAGACATCGCAGGGAGGTCTGCTTCCAGCGGGTTTGCTGTGAAGCTGCCGCCAAATCCCTGCACCAGACACTCATCAGCCAAGCTGCTTTGGAGAGGGACGGCTAGCAAAGCACTGCCCTCCTTACCCTCGTTGAACTCCCGGCTCAGCTCATGGTTCGGGCAGCGTTTGACCACTTCGGTGACGTGTTCAGCTTTCTTGTAGACTGGCATAGCCCTGATGACAGCTCCCTGAGGAGGCGGGGTCATCACTTTGATCTGGATGGGACATGTCTTGGCGATCTGGCAGTACAGCTTTTTCAGTTCAGTGGAATACTGCACAAGGGAAGAGAGCAAGAGAGAGTTAGGATGTTCAGCTTGAGGTGGAGGCATGCCAGAAGGATGGCGATGGGTTTGCACACGTAGCTGAATGCACCAGCTACTGCACGTGCATTGCATTTCCGCACACAACAGCCACACTTCCAGACAAGTGGCAGAAATCCTAGAATTTTACTTGGTTTAGAATAGCAGAGTATAAATGTACAGCCTAGTTTTCCCAAAGGCAAAAATCTTCAGATAAAGATCTCTGCTTTACATCAACAAATACAGTCTTTATAGCTTTTGGGCACATACCCCTCTTCCAAGGGACATGCATTACCCACCTAACAAAACAGACACTATTCTTTTCACAACACACTGCAATCCTGGAAGCACGGGAAACCACACACATGAAGCATTTCATCCTGTTTTGTAAGAAGCCCTTCTACTTTTGCAGAGGGGTGAAATAAAAACATGAACCTTGGAATCGAACAGTACTTGAAAGGAAGACCCTGACCAGTTTGGGGGTTGTACCAAATCTGATGTTTCAGTCACCTTTTAAAAGCATCTCACACCTCTGCTGCCCACCTCCACGCTTCTAAACTCAAAGCATTACATCCACAGAAGAGGTAAATGATAAAATAAGATTTTTTTTTTTTTTTAAAGTATTCAAAGCTCAGAAGAGTTGAACAGCCCAAACACCACGTCTGTGGTGGGACCTAGAGCACAATCCAGGAACTGGCTCCAAAAGGGAGGTTGTGAAGGTCCTGTGGTGTGCAATGAACTCCTAGAGCAGAACAAGATGTTCTTATTCACTGTGCTGATCTGGAGCATATTAGATTCCCTCTTTTAAGATGTTCCCTACTAAAGCAGTGATGATGGTGCAGCACTTGCCTGAAGTGTGTTCACATCTGAAAATCTTTACTCAGCAAAACATCAAGGCATGGGCTGAAGTTGTTCATTTCCCTTCAAAACCCCACACTGAAATAAGTGCACCTGCTTAACAGGAATGGTTGCAAGGAAACTCCCATGTCGTTCAGTACAGCGCAACATGAACCCTTTTTCCAGGATGTCCCCCACAAAAGGGACTCTCCAGTCTCCTCTGCTGTACAAGGTTCTTTCAAAATAGAGCAGTTTTCGTCAGTAGCCCAACTCCAGAGGCATGCAGTTTTCTCCTGGTGCTCAGGCATTCGCCAGCTCAGAGCTCTCCCAGTAACTTTAACCACGTAACCCACAGAAATTGCTGGCATTTCCCCACTTCCATCTCTTTGGTTCTTGCAGAGAAAGAAAAGTGAAAGCCCCAAGGTTTTCTCAAAACCCATCTCTAGCAGCCATGGCCGATACAGCCCCAGTCCCAACTGTTCAAAGCCAAGCACCAAAGGTTCGTACAGGTCGAGAGCACGACGTGGCCATCCACCCTGCCAGGATGGGAAGAGCCAGCGCGTGGATGGGTGGGCGGTGGGCAACGTGGCAACAGAAAGTTTAGCTAGCGATATTCAGGGATTATTTGCATTTCAAAGTATACACATTGCTAACATAGGAAAAACCAAAGCTTGGAGAGAGACACGCTGGGGAGGAGAGGGGGATTAAAAATCAGCCAAGCCGGTCCCTTCCCTCCTCACTCAACACCACCCTGCCATATGGCAGAAAAGATGCTACAGGTATTGAAGCTAAGGAAAAAAAAAATTCTTTAAAATGCAAAGGCCAAATTGTGCAATGTATTTTATGTGCCTGCAGGCTAGAGATTAAACCCACAAAGGATTTACCCAGCCCGCGGAAATAGGGAACATGCCAAACAATTACAAAAAAAAGTTGCGAAACAGATCTAGATGGTGATTTATACCGTACATCTTTTTAACCTGAAATTCCTTATTGTTTTTTAATTAAAAAGCAATTCCTTTCTAAAGGTAAGAGTGAGCTCACTGTGTTGTCTTTTCATCTCTAGTGGCAGGAAAAGAATCACTCCTATTTGAACGAGGAAGAAAATTTAGAAAGCGTTGTTTCCCTCAACACATCAGTTTGCTCATAGCATTGTGAAGGTTTCAAAGCCAGAAAGCCTCAAAAAAAATCTCAAAAAGCCAACTGATCACTTGGATGCCTTAACATCGTTGAAGTGTAAAGAAATTGGGCACCCAAATGCAGTGGGCTGAAATGAAAGCATAAATATGGAAGTGCGGTGGCAGGGAGGGCACAGCACACGCCAGGAGCCAACGTGTCTGGTGTCTGCAGGCATTCGGAGAATTGAACAAATGGAAGGAGATACACACCCCTCGGTCACGGATCAGGAGTGTTGGTGTTGACTGTAATTTTATGTATAATATCTTCAAAGCCAGAAATGTGGGGTTACAAGAAGGGAGAAAAAGACAAAAAAAGTAATCACTGCTTTCAGAAGGACAGGAGAGGTGCCCAACATCAGTGTGAATAGCGAGGCTCCAGGTCAAACAGTGTGGCCCCTCTGCCAGCGAAGGAAGGGATCTGCTCCTTGTCCACCCTTCGGCACCCCAACCGTCAGACACCTTTGGCTACAACCAGAAAGGAAGGCATTGGACCTGCAGCTTAATCACAGAAAGCAAACAGCCGAGGGCTAATGGGTTATGATGAACAAGCTTGTCTAACAAATGAAGTCCCCAAAACGCAAGGCAGACTCAAGAGCTCCAGGCTCTGGCCAACACCTTGAACTTGGTGTGTCAGAGAAGGCGGGTGACCAGGAGCCCACCTCTGTTTTGGGACATGGTCAGGGTGGGAGAGGCAAGAAGCAGCACCCAGCAGAGGCAGATGAGAGAGCAAAAGGGCTGTGTGGCCTTCTCGTCACCCGACTGCAAGAGGAGTTCAAGCCTCACAGGCACTACACAGGGCTCGAGGCTGTGGCACACTGCCGCGATTTCACATCTACCTCGGGCACAGCCGCCTGCGAGTGTGCAATTGCTGAGCGGCCGGTCATTTAACACCGGTGTAAATCTGTCCACGGGATACCTGCTGTCAGACAGTAAGGGGCTTGAGTTTCCCACCCTGCCAACTTTGCTGCAACCGTGGGTAACCTGACGCCCAGCCATCTATTGGCATAAATAGATGTGAACAACTAGGTCACGGTGACTTCGTACGGGATCGGTGATAATCGCTATATCCACAGAGCAAGACAGGATATTGTATATAGATTTCAAAGCAAATAAGCATTAGAAAAATGCTAATCCCTGAGGCAGGAGCAGTCTGTGCACTCAGACAGTGCCTGCAAACAAGGGTCGCCCCCCTCAGCACAGGTGCCTCTCCCCAGTGGTCCCCAAACTGCCCCACCTCACAGAAGGTGACAGTCCCCCTACCCCACTATTTTGCTACGGGAACTGCCAGACGCTCACTGTATTAGGGGTAAGATCTCGAGACCAGCAATTCCCAGGAACCCAGAGCATGACTATTAATTAATGCATTTCTGTTACTTGCTAGTGTAGGAAAATCAAATTAATTAGGACCAAAAATACCAAAAATGAGCTTGACCCAATCAACAAACCTGTTCTTTAGCAAGATGACAGCAGGCATGATCTAGCAGCAGGAACAAAAGCTGCACCAACAGCCTGAGGAAGGTGAACACCACTTCTACCAGACATACAGACCAGAAAGTTACTTAAAACAAAAGAGTGGGGCCTGGCAATGTGTTATCCGTTCGAGAGGGAGAGGAAAGAGCTTTGGCTTGGACTTTTCTTTGGGGTTCAAGTGCTGCACATCATGCCCAGATAAGCAGACAAGAGATTGCTATGAACAAGAGTGATATTAGCTTTTTGCTTAGTAATATGATTTAAAAGGAAAGAAGAAAACATTCCAGCACCAGCAGCCCTGCCCTCCCCACCTGCCCGTGCAGACGTACTGTATTACCCACTCTTGGCACCCTGGCTGGTAATTCAGTATAACAATACACACATGCCAGCTACCATCAGGCAACACCTGTCTGATTTCTCAGCAAGCCCCTTCCCCGGAAGGTGTGTCAACAAAGGGTTTGAAAGAGAAAACAAAACACTTTTTACCTCTCAAATGAAGAATTTTTGCTAGAAAGGACAGAAACCCCCTGGAAGTAAGTGCTGGGTGCAATACAAGCTGCAATGGGTTTTCACTGAGCATTCAATTCCCCTGCAAAACTCTGATGCAGCAAAATCCCCCAAGAGCGACTTTGGAAATCTACCCCTAATACCTGTCTTACCATCTGATCTAGCCAAGGGATTACGGTCCCTAAGTCTTTAAAAGGAGCAGGGTTCAGCCAGCTCTGCGAATGCTGACGGATGTCAACATGAAGGTGATCCCAGAGGCTGGCTTATGGCGTGACAGCTCCCTGAGTGCCTTCTGCTCAGATCAACAGCTCTTTCAAGTCTTTTGCAAACTTCTTTCAAGAAGTCACGTTTTAGTTCAACTCAGTTAAACAATAGATTCATCTCACTTGATGTTTTCAAAGCCGCCGGTCAGCCGTGCTTTCTCCCCTATCAAACTAACTACAAGAAGGGGAAAAAAACAACAGGTTAGAAGAGTGGGAAAGCAACGTTTACTTGCACCAAAGAATTTGCAGATAAGAACAAGCAGTTGCAAAGAAATAGAAAATCACCTGCTTAAGGCTTACTCATTTAGGTAAAAAAAGGCAGCGGGAAGAAAGCAAGTTACCTACTAAGAATAAAAATCAAGACATACACATGCACCTTAAATGTTTTTGCTTTGATAAACAGTGATTTAACTTTTCATTCACAAAAAAACTGCTGGGGACGGGGGGGGACGGGACACAAGATACACATGTATGCACATGCACTCTTAGGAACTGACTTGTACCCAGAGGACGCTCAGCGGGGAATCCCAAGAGCAGCTCTACCAGGAGTGCTGGGGACATGGACATCTCCTACCAGATTTAACCTTCAGCTCAGCATAACCTTAACCCCACCGCTTACTATCGGACTTGTTGCAGCTCCAGTTTGAGGTCCTCTATCTCATCGGGCTCCAGAGAAAAGCAGACAGCTCGCTGCTAGCGGACGTAGCAGACATTCAAACCA